TACGATAAGTCACACTTCAAATATACTCAACTTCCTTTATCTCTGTAGATAACGTTTGCATGCAAGAAATTCTTTCAGTTTAATATAAATTCATATCATCACGATAATTAACTGTGTTAGACAGCATCAAAAGCTCTTCAGATAACACAAGTTATATCATTGAAAAAAATATTTTTGAAATCATTTTTATCAAACATCTTATCATATAAAATTTTTAAAAAATCATCTAAATCTAGAAAAAAATTAAGTTGTTATTTCTATTAGCTGCATCGTCAATTAAGTATTTCAAACTACAAATCTAAGGGTGTTTCCTTTCCTTCTATAGTTCATATCTGCGCATTATCTTGGAATGGTTATATTGTAGTCAGAAAACTACTATATAAGGAATAACATTAGTGGGGCAGACGAGCTCTGGGACATAAATTCAATTCAAACATTCCCGAACTCAGTGAAAGTACGTTGTGCTTGTATTATATTTATTATCATTTTTGTTTTGTTTTGTTTTACCATTATCTCCATACTTGAGCCGTGCTGTGTTATTGTTGTTATCAGTAATCTACAAATCCCCTGTTCTGAATATAAATCAACTTAAGTTATATTAATTAAACACAGAGATATTTTGGCGATATGTATAAAAGGTCTTGTTTATTATAGTGTCACCCCTACTGAAAGGGCCAGCCATTTTGACTTATGAGACACCTTTTGCTTGCATACCATGTACCTCCCAATTCCTATCACTATGCCAGGCGCCAGGCGGATAGAAATTGCTAACCATTCATTTTAACTACCTCGCGGCTCACGGAGCGGCCATTTCGGAACGAGTCCCACGAGAAACATTCATCCTTCAATTAACGCTCCCCGTGGGGCTCGAACCTTCGACCTCCCGATCCGAAGGCGGACGCCTTAACCACTAGGCCAATGGTACCGGTATATGTTTGTTTTGATTGGGTTTTACGTCACACCGACACAGTATATGTCGTTTGGCGACGTTCCAGCTTTACTGGTGGAGGAAGACCTCAGGTGCCCTTCCGTGCATTATTTCAAGTCCCTGTCGGGATTCGAACCCACAACGCTGAGGGGCAAGTGGTTTGAAGTCAACGACCTTTAACCACTCGGCCAGGGACGCCCCTATGTATATGTTATACATATAGAAAGTATATGTTCTACATATAGAATTTTGAGATATTTTTATTGTTCTTTTATATTATGAATATATCATTCACTAAAATGTGCCGCTAGAAAGTTTTCTTTCTAAATGTGTTTCTTTATCACACTGTAAAAATAGTACAACATATTTAAATTAATCCTTTTGTTGTTTTCTAAGTTAATGTTGAAATTTTGAAACAAGGGAGCGTGATTGATAATATTGAAAATGGTAAATAAAAAGCAGGCACAAGTTTATATTAAAGTCCAATTCTGCATCTTTAACTTGCAAGAAGTTCCTTCAATTTAGATATTAAAATTCAGTTCTGCATTTGAAATTAAACACACGATTTCATAGCCATATAGAAAAATACAAAAATAAATACCTCACTTCGACAAAATCATAATAGAACTTATATTAAAGAGGATAATAATTCTAACATCAGCCATAAGACAATACTTTATAAAAATGTACCAAATATCTCAAACCTAGACAGACATGACTTGTTTTGGCCCCTTAAGCGAGGCAAATTTTTACACATGGTCATGATTTAAAAGAAAAAAGGGTAGTGCTCCACCATACAGTGCTACATATTATATAGTCAATGGTATTTTAAAGATGATATTCATTTATGAGACTGTAAAATCAAGTGTTCCCGGGGCTCTCAGGGTCATAACTAGAACATTCTTGGTGTTGGCCGACCATTCAATGGTATGTATAAAATGTCTGTTTAAGGCATTGAAGTTTGGGAGAAGAACAAAGAACACTTTGGAGGGCATGTAAAGTTAACTGACCCGGAAGAGTACACAATTTGATCACATATAGTAGTGTTCTCCCATTCAAAGCTTCAAACCAATACCCTTAGGTCTCGGAATTTGTGTTTGTAGGAAAACGATTTAATTGTTTCATGAAGGAAACTGTAAAAAAAAAAGTAACTGACTTGATTTAAACAAACTTAGTAGTCGTCAAAATAACGATGCTACACAAACTACGCCGCATAAATTCGGGTTTGTTGAAAGAACATTTTTCAAAGTTTTCATACGAGACGAAGAAAACCGGGTGTGGTAAACTTTGACTTTTGACTCCAGGTCATACTTTGAAGAGAGTTGGAAGTGGTCCATCATGTGATCATACAACGATTTTTACCGAAAACATAAGCTATTTTGGGGAACGGTATTAACACTTTCCAATATAAAACCTCTCAAAGGCTATGATTTATACAACGTTGTAGAGGACCACTAGACAATACTTCACACAAAATATCTAAGCTATAGGCGTTGTGATTTCAGAGAGATTAAAGATTTTGTTAGTTGTAAGTAAGTAAAATTTTATTTACTCCATCGTCTATAATTTGGACAATTTTTGTAAAGGTCTATAAGACCATGCTTTTCACAAAATATTTAATATCAAAGGACTCTGTGCTTTCAAACAAGAAAACACTTGTAAAGCAAAGAAAATCAAACAAAGCAGTTCTTCAATTTACGTACAAAGTTTATGATCAATCAGGAAACGAGAATAAAAAACTTACAAATAACGTAACAAAGTAACAAATAGATAAGTCATATATTGTTGAGAGATTGTCTTATCGTGAAGTGAAATAATAACTATCCTAGACTATGATGAATAATGTTATTATCTTGCCGGTTGAAAAGTTATTGTTTCTTAAGTGTTTTGAACGTGTTCATTTTCTATCTATCACTTTATATTTGTTGTTGTTCGTGCACTTATTTTCCGCCTTTTCTCCTTATACCCCACCCTTGTGCCATTACTTCCCGTAATAGCCCTTTTGCTTTTATGTTTCGTATTAAATTTCTTACTGAACAGTAAATTGTTATACTAACATGTATTTGCATGTTCCCCTCCTCCTTTCTTTGCTTTTACAGTATTTTGGCTCGGTACCACTCTAGGTAACCTGCCAGTTAAGCTGAGTTGTGTCGTGGACTGCGTTCTTTGAATATCGCCTTGCCTTGTTTACCTTCATTTTCAGTTGTTTTTTAAGAAAAGGATTTAAAAAACACGTTTTTATTAAAAGAATACTTAAAATTATTGAACTTTAAAATGTACGTCTTTATACATGTTGCACTTTTTCATAATTCATCTACTATCCTGTGCATCCGTCGAATGTCCAATTGCTCACTTTCTTAAGTAACGTGAGTGTATTCAGTGCGGAAATCAAACCTAGTTTGCAATTTTCATGTTATTTTGTTGTGATTTATGCTTACAAGGGATCACCCTTTTTAGAATTGTAATACGACTATTTGGAAATAAATATTTTTTACCAAATAATTAATTATCAGGAATAAAATATGAGTAATGCAAATGACCGGTAACATTTATACTAAAATGTGCATGGCATATTGTGTACATATGTTTATTATTCTTATTTTTTGATAATGAAAAGCTTTATTCATTGTGTAAAAAATCATACTGTCATTTCATTTATTTGTTTAATTTTTTGTCCGCCCACATTCAAACAGAAATTCCTTTTTTTCCATTTTATGAAAAGAATGATAGATGTTGTTTACTTTTCACATGTTAAAACAGGAATCAAGTCGACATACAGTCAGCATTTCTGCTCTACTTTTTGACAGTTTTTGTCATACTGTTTTCATTATATATTTTTGTACATTGTAGTTTACTTCGACATTTTTGTATCCCAAGTAATTGTTACCTTTGTGCATCCCATTACAAATCAAGAATTATACTCATGTTACTTATATGTTTAAAGTTAATTATGCAATGCCAAAAATTGAGTCTGTACATGAGGGATAAAAAAGAACATCACTCACGCCCCCTATCACCGGATTGAAAAGGAAGTAAAACAGTATTCCCTGTGAATAATAAAAGTATAGCATCATGTATTAGTACACGAGTTACTTCCATGAAATAATTATACTTATAAAAAGTGAAATGAGTACCAATTGAAGAACAAACAAATATAGTGAATATAACAACTATTGTGCAATCATTTTGATTTGTTAAAATCATATGTGATAATTTACATCAGACATTGAAATGTCAGCACAACATCACTTGTAAATGCAAGGTATAAAATTTAACCCATTTATTTCTAATTTTCAACAATTCATATTGACCATTGGCTGCAAAGTCCTCTATACAATATATACGATTTAAGAAGTATTTTATGAACAATATGATATATTATGTTATATTATAATTATGTCATAATCAAATTAAGCTTTAGTGTATTAATTTAGTAATTGTTATGATTTATTTTTTCAGAATAATTATTAGAATAGAATAAGAATATTCCTTGGAACTTTTACAATTATTTATGTAGGATATTTTTGTATTCTTTAAAAACATTTTTTATATCGTGATCAAAATTTCGGAATGAAAGATGTTTGTAGCACAATTTTTTCATATATTTACTTTAAATCTAATTTAATTTTAGGGAGTAGGCGAGTTCATCGCAGTTAAATCTTTTTAATTCCAAACACAATAAATCAATCATTTATCATGTTATAAACAAACAAACCAATTGAAAACGTAAACGAGTAATTATAAATCGCCCAACCTTTACCATTCATTTGTTATTGTAAGACGTTTTCAAAAGCAAGACAAACTCTTTTTTATATCCATACAGCTGTTTTTAAACTATAAGGAGCTCCATACATAACACTTCTCTAACTTCATGTTTACATAGCCACAAAAACGTTACAAACCTCTTTAAAAGCAATGGAACTGAAAGGACGAAAGATAATTATCACTTGTTAGAAGACTTGTTAGATTTGTTAGAAGAATGGTAATATAAATAGTATATTGGAGAAAATTCCTAATTATAATACGTTGTAAAGAACCTACGCTGAAGTTGTGTTGTGTACACCTTGAATTCTCTTTACCTGTACAGTAGCTGTAAGTAAGTTAAAAAAATCTGCCTTCTTTTAACATCTCCCACTACATGTAAATTCACATGATCAAATAGGTGAAAAGAATGTTTTATTATCACGAATAAATGAATGGAGTATACGAGAGTTTTTTACTGTGGTAAACACGTTTTGAATGAACTTAGTAAACATTTATTGAAAAAAAATGTAGACATGCTTATTCAGACAAATACAACAAATAAAGAACATGGGCGACAGGATTTGAACGAGTTATCATAAAACGATCCAAAAAGATTTCGGATGGAAAATGTCTTGATCATACTTTAACAGAATCATGGTTTGCTGAATTCAGTTTGGAATTTGTTTTAAATAAAGTGACAATTAAATTAAACCGGAACTACAAGTGAAACGTCTTCGTAACCTAGACAACTACTAAAAACAATGCAACAAAAATATTATTGTGCCTGAATGTCTACAATTCTATGAAAAACATTAAAAACTTTCGAACAATTGCTAGGACGGTTTAAAGTAGTTGACCATTCTTAATTTGGGGACCATGCACTATGACCGCTTTGTTATATTTTAAGTGTTGTTGTTTTTATTGTTACTGTTTAATGTTGTTAATTGGAGCAGTATTCGCCCACGATTGTGAACATACGAATACACAAGGTAAAATATAATTTCTTTTGTATTGTTTCGATTATACATGTATAGCTAGTTTGTTAGGTTTAAGCTCTTTTAACATTAATGTATATGTTACACCGGTAGGTATTGATTTGCATATTTTCACTTTCTATGGACCATTCAAAGTTTTAACTATAATATAAGACTCTTGTATAAAACTCAACATTTCTCTCAATGTAATGGAATGTAATTACAAACACAAGTACATATTTGATAATATGGAAATTTCCTTTCTTTTTCTTAAGCATATAAATTCAGGTCTAGTTCATTCTTACTTGATTACATTATATATCGTATCAAACACTTTAAGATCTACAAATTATCATTGGATAAGATCACTCGTAACATCTACGTGTAGATTTGTATATTTAATTACTTTATATATTTCGGGAAAATACATCAATGATAACGGAAGTTCTCGTAAATATCGAACAATTAACATTCGCTTTCCATCCTTGATATGTGTTTTACTTAACAGTAGAACTGATATTATATTAAGGTGTGTACTTAAAAATGCGACTATGTAGGTAAACTATGTTAAATATCTGGAACAGAAGTTTTATACATATAACAACAATGATATTGTGTACAATAAGTGGTTGTAGGTGTGTTTTTTATAGTTGGGAATGACGTCATTAATTGTCATATACTTAGGTGCTTGAGAACAAACGTTTGCCTGTCATAATTCCTTACATGTCATAGTCTTGATGTTTCATGAAATATGATGACTTGTAACATGCAAAAATATATGCACGGTTAATCTACAGAATTTCTTATACAATGTATGTTTAAACGAATACATACAATACTCTGAAATTGTATGAAAAAAATGGATCTATATCGCATCTCATTTAAAATGTAATTATTGTCGGGTGTTTTTTATATGAACGTAAAAAACACAATACATTAAATAAAGTAGAGTATTGCGTAAATGCAAATTTCTGCATTATGATTCATGCAAGTACTATAACTTAATCTGCTCGTTTATTATATTTATTATTATTTGTTTTATTTGATGCAAATATAAATCATTGGTGTTCAACATCATTTGCCGTCCAATGAAATCGCTCCAATTTTCAAAAGAAATGCCTTCTTAACGGTGTAGACAGGAAAATTGTGTCACTTGTTTATTTTGGAACGAAGTGCGCATGTGTAAACCAATGTAAATAGTATCCCCTCCTAATTAGGACGACGTGACATTGATAAAATTCTAAGCGAAAACTAGGTCAACGTTTCTTTTTACTGCCACTTTGTATGGCGGAGTCATTTTGTTTACAATTCCATGGACAAAACATAAAAAACACAAATATTTTGGTCATTTTGAACTAACAAAATTATACAGACGAAGACTAATGTTGATATCACAATAATCATTCACTTCCAGTATTTTTTCAGAAAAGTTCAACATTACAGAAATTAAGCGATGTAAATAATGTGCACTAAATATTGAACAAGTATTAACATTTTCCAAAAATGCTTGGAATCGCCGTTCAGCCATGAATAATTATAAAAATGATATTGTATTTCTTGCCTAATACCTATTAACATATAAAGTCAGCAAAGATACTTGATTTTCTCAACCATTCCGTTCTGGTCCCCACGGGCGCTTCTTTTTGGGTTCTGAATTGTTAAAATTTCTTTCATTTAATGAACACTAACATAGTAAAAATGCGTTAAATAAATCAGTTGATTTATTGGCTCGTTGGTGGTTTGAGTTATGGATTGCATATCTTATATTCTTATATTCAGTGATTGATTATTGAATAATACATTTTGCTGGCTAGCTGATTGGATGGTTGGCTGACTAATTTTATTTAATTGGCATTTTTTTATCATCTTTTTTATAGCGATGTTATTAAATTATAGCTTTATCTAAAGGAAAAACTCTTTTTCTACTCCTTGAGTATTCTCAGCCATTTTGACTTTTGTTATTCACATTGTTTCAGGAAATTTTGTAATTGAATCAATTAGTTAATTGATCACCCGAATCCACCATGCTACAACATCTGTTTAAATCATTGAAACAAGTATATGTACATGTATTTGTAGACAGTAGCCTATTAGCCCACCATTATACTTTATATACCACATGTTGATAACTATTCCGAATACATCGCCTGTTAAAAAGATCAAATTTGTGGGTGAACGTAAATTCATATAAGTATTAGCATTTCTATAAATGCAAGGAATCGCCGTTCAGCCGGGTTTTCGAAAAATAGACTCCTTCAAAGATATAGCTTATGTTTCTTACTGATTGGGATATATTCCATTTATTGTTTACCGAGTAGGAGCATACACAATGGTTCCAACTACAGACATGAAAAGAAGTATAAATTCTAATTCCATATTTAGGTATCCCGACAAAAACATGGCTGAAGGTGTGCCCCGTTAGCGCCCTTTTTTGAGATCTTTTGACGTTCATTGTGTTATCATGTAAAATACTCTTTGATTGGTTATGGGCAGGCGGTGTAGGGTAGAAATGGTCACATCGTGAAATGGTCACATCTTTTTAATTGGATATGTCGTCCACTATTTAAAATCAATGTGAAATATTAAGATAAATGCTATAATAAATTTGGTTATATTTTTCCCGCTATGAACATCTATCAAATATTAAATTAAACAGATAGCGAAAATCATTTTCAGTCACGAATGGTTAAGATCGTTGACTTCAAACTACTTGTCCGTCACAGCCTAATGTTCAAATCTTGGAATATTTTTGAACGGAACAGAACTCATGTGCCTGTTCGTGCCTTAAATAATGCACGGAAGGACACCCGATGTATTTCTCCACCAGTTAAGCTGGAAAGTCATCATATGATCTATACTGTGTTCGTGCGACGTAAGCTCCAACCCCCAACTTTGTTCATTAAACTAAAAAGAAATGAAATCGGCTGACGTATAAGTTAATGCCGAGATAAATAATGGTACGTTTTAACATGAATATAAACAAGAAATAGTTTTGTCCTCTTTATTACATCAATTTCCAAATATCAAATTATATATCAAAGCCTTGATCAAAAGATATGTTATAGTTTTGTACAAATGTATTTCAAGTTTTCCGGTTGAAAACGAATATTGTAAAGACAGGCTACATCATAATTAGTTTTCAAGATCACCCATGTAGAAACATCAGACAGACTGCTTTAATTTCACAAAAGAGATGAGAGCTAGTCAAAACATAGAATTTCAATTTATAAAAACTCTAAAACACACAGTGGACAATCTGATAAAATTTGATATGAAATAAATGAACTTATTCTTTGAAAATAGTGATATTTCTGTCAATTTGACTCAATTACCATTACTGGTGGGCAATATTGTTAGTAAAAAGAAGAAATTTATGTCTCTTCGTTGTCTGAAATAACGGTGTTGTCTAGTCTCCAAGATTCCTCATTCAGTAATAGCTAAAGAACAAAGAGGTCTTCAAAAGTAGAACTTTCATGCATGTGAAATAATACAAAATGGCAAAGAGATTGTTTGATTATATTATATTTAATTAAAATATGAAAGCAAAATGTATTAGTACTAGATACCGCTTTAATGGCCTTTTACGTATATTGGTTTGCACTATTTTGGTTAATATATTGGTTTTCTTCACTTATTTCATTAAATAATGTTGTTTTTTCAACAAATATTCCTTCTGTTGAATACAGTAGTATTGGCAATGCAAACAAATCATGCCTAATGTAGACCATAGTTTATAAAATTATAAAATGAAAAAGCTAAATCATTGCCAGTCTATAGAAGACAGTTTAAACAGCTGGCATGATTTATTTGATTAGCATGTTGGCATTTAACTTGTGTAAGGTTAGTTTAAAAGTTATAGAACAGGCTATTAAAATTTTGAAGATATATGTCAATATTTGATTTATAAGGTAACTTAAATGATGTTCTATTTAAGCTAGGCTGTGCAAATCTACCTTGGAATAAAACAGATTATCCCTTTCTATATGTCATAATATTTGAAAAGAAAGAATTTTAATTTCTCCGATATAGCCAAAAAATAATCTTACGAGTTTAAATAACAAAGTGGATTAATTTTACCCATTAAACCATCATGCTATATCTTTCTTTTTATTTTACATATTTCAATTGTAAATAATGTAAAAATATAAATTGAAACAAGTTTGATTTAGACATCTATAAAAATTGTAATAAAAATGGGACAAAGAATGATTACCGACTGCTGATATTATTATTTGAAACATAAAATCAAATAGAATTTATTATAAAGTACTTGTACCGTTCATGAACATGCCTTATTTATGGTTGTTATTTGTGCAGTGTGGCGGCTGTAAAAAAGTCTCCGCGTACATTTAATCAAAGATGTTATATTTTCGACCCTTTAGATCGTTCAGCACGACATTATTGTTGTGTATACATGTTATGTGGTATTTTTACTTTCTTCTATTTGGCTTTTTTCAACTTGGGTGGTTCCAGTATTCCTACTTGAATACTGTATAATCACCCTTAGTATATGTTGCCTGCTTGTTAAATTTGTCTTTTGACGTCTTGTCTGTGACATGCAGGCTTCATAACATCAGATCCCCTTTTAAAATTCCATTTAATTCAGTTCTGCCAATTGTTTTCTCGTTTAGGGCACACGCATTCTTTTATTTGGGGACCATACGCCGCTTTTAATGGAATGGCACTACTACTGTTACACATTGAAGGTTCCATAATAACCGCGTATGAACACATCTGCGGATGTTTCAAAATTCAAAATTTCACCTATTTCGTGTTTAAATGTTAAATTCTGCTTAAGCCGGTACTACGGGGCTTGGACGGTACTTTGCACTTTACAGTACCGTCCATGAACAGGCTCAATCAAGCCGAGCCTGCAAAAAAAATAATTTTGCCGTGTTGGGCTTTCTTTAGGGATTCTGTTTTTCTCTATTTTTTAAATCAATATTTCATCAGATTTTGAAGAATTAGGACTCAAAGTACACTGTTTCCCAATTTAACATAACTTATGTGTGCACATACCAGTCTTGTCAATATAAAAAAATGTATATATTTATCAGTGAGACGTCTTTGTTTTTTAAATGCGTATGCAACAATTACATTCAGGCAATATAGGCAAAAATGAAATTGCTAAATTCCTTAAAGCTGTGAAAAACCTGGGGTCAAATGGCTTATTTACGAGTTATCCTACCTTTAAGTGTCATTAAGTCGCACTGGTTTATAGTTTTCACATGTCCCTCGTTCATAAAAAGGGCTCTTTCACTACACTCACATGTCATTACTAATTACGGTAAACATTGTATTTGATGGTGAACAAAGTGTACTACCTAAGATTATTACAATGAGGTATTACTGTTAAGATGTTGGCAAATATCCTGTCAGATGTTAACCTTACTAACAACTTCCTGATTCCATTGTTAAATATATAAAATTGTAACAGGTTCAGGCGCATAATATATTTTGATTTTTTTCGATCATTAATTAGATCTTCAAGGATACAATTAAACAATTGTTATATGGACTACTACAACTATACATATATGTGACTGGTCAAACAAGTGTTGATTTCAAACACGTTCATAACTGTATAACTGTTGAATTCTGCTTCAGTCGGTGGAGGGGACAGGGCGTTGACTAACATTCATGAACATGCTCAATGAAACCGGGCCTGCAAAAGTTCTAATTTTATTGTAGATGACGCCATTTTAAGCTTTCCATGTTTTATTATTTATACCTGTCCTTTCAATTGAATATTTTCTTCAATACAACGGATTAGGTATGTACTGGGATAATATTTACTGTAGATTCCTTGCAGCTGTAATGCAAATAAAAGAGATAAACTATCATTATAACACTACAATCGCATGAACATATGATTGTGGTATGAACGTTACGTGTAGACAACATATTGGATTCTAAGTACAAATACTAGTTATAGCCGTTCAGATAAAAATCTAGATAAAGTGTGATCCCTCGGAAGTATAAATCATAACAGAATTACAGGAAAAAATGCAAACTCGGATTAATTGAGTTTTCACATAAGAGATAACTTAACGATAAAGACTTGAATTCAGGTAGAGTGTATTTATGCTTGCACTGTGCGAAATGAATTACAGGTTTTCAACTCTTAAATGGACAATGCGTCTAGTCATAACTTTAACAACAAGAAATGGTACAATCAACCTAGTGAGGCAACCACCCGAGTCTCTCGTGCGACTATAAATGAAAAATATAAGAACGGAAATTTTATCGACAATATGTAATCAATTGTTTGTTAGGCGATGTTTGGTATTATTGTCAAATTTTTTCGTTACTTCGTTCATATTGCACATTGTCAAGTGTTATCATAGTCACTTGTTCAAGGTACTTCGTTATATCGCCTGTTATTACGGTAACGTATTTATGTTACACCATTAAACATCATTTATACCGTCTAACATGTTTTCATAATCACATATGTACATCGTTCATATCATCATAGTTTAACATCAAATAAACAAAATCATTAAAAATGATAATAGCATAAGTAGGTATGGAACCCACGACATCGATATTATCAGTCCAGCGCTCTACCTACTGAACTATTCAGAAAATAGACAACAATCACATTTAAAATAAAGCCTATATATATATATATAACACAACTCATGAGATCAAACAGAATATAATATCAATCCTGATATTTCATTTTACATTCAATGATCAGACTTTAAACTTCTTTCAAACTCATACCATACTTGTCAAGTTACCTACATACTGGAATAAGAAAATACCTTAGTATTTGTCAAATTAATGTAACAAAATTATTAATAAAATAGATGATTATGGTAAACTAGTTATAACAACCAACACTTTTAATGATATGTCAATCTTACCTGTCATTGTTAAGTGATTACATTTGAAACAAAATTTAATAATAATCATGTATAAATAGTGCCTGCGGGATGGAAAATGTCAGTCGAACAGAATTAGAACAGCTTTGAATTATTATGCTTTTGAAGTTGGAATAGTTTAATACATTCCATTCCTTATGATCATTACACTTTGATTATTTGTCTTTCAACGAGTGTTAAATTAATTTAAGAGAATATCTACACCAAGGCTTGTTAAACATGGATAAAGATATAAAACGTGGCATATTTTGCTTCAAGCAAACATAAAACATCAAAAGATTCAATTATCTAGAAATAGTTATCATACGGAATATTTCTAATTTGTGATGATAATCAGAAATGAGAGGTTATTCACCAAAGCGCTTAGAATCATTATCCTATTATATACGTTTGGTTCTGGTAATTAGTTCTTATTATACATGTTTGTTTCAATTGTCCCAGTATTCATATCAAACTAAGTATATTCATATTGCACAAACACAATGTGTAAAGTGCTTTGATACGTATATTATAGACATAAAACTACTAGTATCAAACTAATTTAATGCATGAATATATTAAAATTACCCAAACCAACTGAAATGAACATAAACAATCTGCGACAGTAGAATGCAGTACAGAGAAAAAGAAAGGAAATTAAAAAAAGGGTTGTAATAAAAAATGAACTGAGATAAGTATAAAATCACGTTCCATTTTTTCTAGATGATGACCAAGTGAAGCTCGAATGTTTGGTGGAATCTTTGTTCGACCCAACAAAGTACAGCCCACTTGTTAGACCCGTACACAACATCAATGAATCATTAACAGTTGACTTTAGTATACAACTTAGTCAAATTATCACATTGGTAGGTATACGATATAATATTACGTATATGTTTTATCTATCTACTCTCTATAAATGAGCCGCGTCACGACAAAACCAACATAATGGTTTTGCGACCAGCATGGATCCAGACCAGCCTGATTAGGACCCATGCTGTTCGCTTACAAACCCTATAACAAGTACTGAAACTGATAGAGAATAGCATGGATCCTGATCAGACTGCGCGGATGCGCAGGCTGGCCTTGATCCATGCTGGTCGCAAACGCACTATGTTGGTTTTGTCGTGACACGGCTCAAATGATTTATAGTTATTACAACATTGATACAGATTGCACATAAAGACACATAAATATACAAACAAATTACATGCAAGTTTTTGTCGTTTTGGTAGTTCTTTAGGAATTCCGTTTTTCTTAATTATTTTAAAGTAAATAGTTTTAAGACTTATCATGAATATACAAATATTGGCAACATAATAAAAAATATCTTAACAAGCACAAAGAAAGGCGATAGTTATAATTGGTGTTGTATGAAATCACTTTTCATCTTTGCTTAAAAACAAGCTACCATACCATAGATTTCACACTAAAATAAACATCAAAGGATCTTCAAATTATAAAGTATGTTTTTGCACTCCATATAATAAATTATATGTTTCACTTATAAATTTGAGATTATATATTTTTTCAGGATGAGAAAAATCAAGTCATGAAAACAAATGTTTGGCTACAGCTGGTAATTATGATAATAATCTACATATTAGCCGCGTCACGACAAAACCAACATAGAGCGTTTGCGACCAGCATGGATCCAGACCAGCCTGCGCATCCGCGCAGTCTGATCAGGATCCATGCTGTTCGCTATCAGTTTCTCCACTTGTTATAGAGTTTGTAAGCGAACAGCATGGATCCTGATCAGACTGCGCGGATGCGCAGGCTGGTCTGGATCCATGCTGGTCGCAAACCCACTATGTTTGTTTTGTCGTGACACGGCTCATATGTTTAACATTAGAATTGTATATAAATAAAATGTATCAATGAAGAGTTTAACTATTTATTACATGCTTTTCGGTAGTTTATAGAAATTTATTACATGCTTTTCGGTGGTTTATAGAAATATATCAGTGATATAAAACTGGTAATTTCACTGTTTGAAACAGTGAAATTACCACTTTGATAATTTCACTGTTTTGAATTTAAGCCCCTTACGTTGTTTCAGTGAAATACCAGCGTGCACAGTACTGGGAACCAACTTTATGACGTGACGTCGTAAATGACGTCACGTTGTATTATTATTTGGCGCGCTTTTCATTCAGTATTAGGTTTAATGTCTTTTTAAAACGTTTCCTTGCATATAATAAAAAGAAAATTTGTTTAGTTTAGTGTAAGATCGAAATATATTTCACCTTGTGAACACCAAAAGTTCATATTTCACTCGTGGCTGCGCCACTCGTGAAATATACCTTTTGGTGCTCACTCGGTGAAATATATTCCGATCTTACACTGAACTAAGCAAATATCCTCTATATATCAGTGATATAAAACTGATAATTTCACTGTTTTCACTGTTTTGAATTTTAGCCCCTTACGTTGTTTCAGTGAAATACCAGCGTGCACAGTACTGGGAACCAACTTAATGACATGACGTCGTAAATGACGTCACGTTGTACTATTATTTGGCGCACTTTTCATTCAATATTAGGTTTAATGTCTTTTTAAAACGTTTCTTTGCATATAATAAAAAGAAAATTTGTTTAGTTTAGTGTAAGATCGAAATATATTTCACCTTGTGAACACCAAAAGTTAATATTTCACTCGTGGCTGCGCCACTCGTGAAATATACCTTTTGGTGCTCACTCGGTGAAATATATAGAGGATATTCAAGTTATTTCTATAAATACATGATTTATTTTCATCGAGTAGTATGAAAATAAATATTTCATGAGTGGCTGTAGCCACGATTGAAATATGGTAATTTCATGCCACAAGATGAAAATAAATCATGTATTTATAGAAAAAACTTGAATTTTCTTTTTATTATATACATTTTTTCTCTTTTTTGACATTAAAATTTGAAAGACTGTCCCTTAAATTTTGTGTACTGGCAGAATTTAAAAGAAAGTAGTCCGGCAAGACACCAGTGAAAATACAGAAAATATGTTTCACTGCCGTGAAAAATATTTTTTTTACAGTGAAAATACGGAAAATGAAAATACGCATTTTATTTCATCAATATTTCTCAATATTTCATTTATAAGTATATAATAAATTCTGATCTTACACTGAACTAAACAAATATCCTCTATATAATCCTCAAACATGACACAGTAGAGCGATTGGTGATGATTTTTTTTTTAAAGTTATGTCTTTTTCTTAATTTTATTTTTTATTTTAATTATAATAATTTTCAACTTTTATTTCATTTATTTTTTTGGATAGGTTTCCATTTCGGAAAAAAATATAATTAAATGTTTGTTTGATGCTGAAGTTTGTAGTACACAATACATAATACTACTAATCATAATAATTATATAGATTAATAAATATATTGATAAAATGGTGGTCACTTTTTAAATTTTTTATGTGTGTATCTATGTTAAATTTGCTAAGTATTTCACAATCATGGACATGTCATTTCTTTTTAGTTTAGTCTCACCAATGTGCATAATATATGAGCCGCACCATGACAAAACCAACATTGTGCGTTTGCGACCAGCATGGATCCAGACCAGCCTGCGCATCCGCGCAGTCTGATCAGGATCCATGCTGTTCGCTATCAGTTTCTCTAGTTGTTATAGGGTTGGTAAGCGAACAGCATGGATCCTGATCAGACTGCGCGGATGCGCAGGCTGGTCTGGATCCATGCTGGTCGCAAACCCACTATGTTGGTTTTGTCGTGACGCGGCTCATATGATTTTATGACGTTTTAATATAACCTATACAATAACACGGATACGTCGTCCTTTCCTCCACCACTGATTCATGAAAGCCATAGTTAAGTATTAACTAATATTTTAATTGTAAATGATGTTACAGTATTGGAAGGACTATCAACTAGTATGGCAGGATAGAGAAGGTTATGAAGCGTACCAGCAGATTGAAGTTGTCAGAATGAGACCAGACCTCGTATGGAGACCAGATGTCGTCTTATTTAACAAGTATTTTATGTTAAATATTCAATATTATGTATTCGAATGAATCTTCAATCTTAAATATCATACACTCAAATGAAAAAAACAATTGTTAATCTTTATTGTTTAGCTTCAAATTTGTATTTATTTCAGGACATCAGTCATATACTGAAATTTAGTTACATACTCATTGTTAATTTATCATTTGTTTTTACATCACAGAATTGTAAACATCCACTTATTTTTCAACTTTCTCGAAAAAAAATGCTAGGCTAATCATGTTCGCTTGAAAATGTACTAAGGTATTTGATAAAATTAGTAAAAACAAGATATTATGATCCTGGCGTTGCTTTAGTCATGTGAATTACTTTTACTTACAGTGCAGACGGGAATTATGAAGTATCTTATATGTCAAATTGCCTTGTATATAGAGGAGGAGATGTTAACTGGATCCCACCCGCAATCTATAAAAGCTCCTGCAAAATTGACGTCCAGTTCTTCCCCTTTGATGAGCAATTATGTGATATGAAATTTGGCTCATGGACATTTCTTGTGAGTTTACACGAATGCTACATTTGTATATGATAATTTAGGATGGAGTCCTAATGTCCCGGATGTCTCTCTATACATAATATATTTGAGCCGCGTCACGACAAAATCAACATAATGGGTTTGAGACCAGCATGAATCCAGACCAGCCTGGGCATCCGCGCAGTCTGATCAGGATCCATGCTGTTCGCTTACATACTCTATAACAAGTAGAGAACAGCATGGATCCTGATCAGACTGCGCGGATGCGCAGGCTGGTCTGGATCCATGCTGGTCGCAAACCCATTATGTTGGTTTTGTCATGACACAGCTCATTTATGTTTGGTAAAGTTCAATTTTACTACAACTTGTATTGTATGAAAACAAAATGAATAAAAACATAAGGTCAATTCAGCTACAAATTTAATATGTAAATAGAGCTAAAAGCACTCAAAGAGCACTCAAAGTGGCAAAATTAAAAATGTTTCAAGCTTGATTTTCTTGAGCTTGTTCATGCACGGTTACGATAAATTCAAACTACCGTCCAGGCTTCTAGCACCGGCTTTTAAGCAGAATTCAAACATGAAATGGTAACAATTTGAATTAAGAAACCTGACAGATGTGATCATATAACGAATTTGGTCATTTTTTTAACAAATAAGCTTTACCTCTATATATTCACCTTATAGTGAAACTTATGAAATGTTTGCAATACTTGTGTATTGTTCCGATCACGTTTTAACCATAGGGCAATTTAAAATACATGTACCTTCAAGGACAGCATTTTTTATTTATAATTTCAATTTAAACATTATTATGTTTATTTCAGGACACGTTCGGACGTCAATAAGTTTTCAATTCACTGTTCAAATATAAATATTAAATCTTTGTCTTCCAGGATTATCAACTCAACTTTTCATTTTACATGAATGTATCGCATTTTGATGTTAGCGATTATCTTACAAATGGTGCTTGGGATATCGTTGAAGGAGACGCTGAATTGACAAAGACTGCAACTGAGAAAACTGGGGAATTTAAAGCTATGGTGATATTTCGACTTCGTCTAAGGCGTAAAACGCTGTTCTACACAGTTAATCTAATTATTCCATGTGTTTTAATTTCATTTGTGACATTATCTGTGTTTATTTTACCGGCTGATGCTGGCGAGAAAATTACTTTATGTATATCCATTCTTCTTGCGTTGGTTGTGTTCCTGCTGCTGATTTCAAAAATTCTCCCACCATCATTAACTGTTCCATTGATATCTCAATATTTAATGTTTACATTTATAATGAATATTTTAGCTATCGTGAGTACTGTTATTGTTATAAATAGAAATTACAGAACACCGAGAACTCACCACATGCCTTATTGGGCTAGACTAGTGTTTCTTAATGTTCTTCCTAAACTTATGTTTATGAAAAGACCAGATCATGACGATAGATGGAATGAATCTTCAGATGAAATCAGCGCAACATCCCCAAAAAGAAATGCCAGCAGGGATCCAGATTTAACTCGTATAACAACCCAAAATGTTGTACCACAAGGCCAAACTATTGAGCATTCTCAACCAGAAGAAGCTGGATATATAGAAAATTTGATAGAAAGTCATCATGCTCATTGTCAATTAAATGAAACAAGTCAGCAAGGAGAAAATCTTGCTGGCACTACGGAAATGTCTGTCATCAACAAAGCCTTAAAACCGGTATCACAGGAAATATACAAAGCAGCTGAATCTGTCAAGTTCATCCATAAACATCTCAAGAAAAGCGACGAATACCAAACAGTTAGTATTTTTTGTTTTTATTTGTCAATTTAAGATTACGTAATATATTTACAATTTTAAAACTGTGTAATTGACAATGAAAGTTTTATCTTTCCTGTGTGAACAAATATATTTCTATATGATTACAGGTGCTTGATGATTGGCGGTATGTTGCCAGGGTGATAGATCGATTACTACTTTCTATATTTTTTGCTGTCACGGCGTTTGGATCGTTGGGTATATTCATGAAAGCTCCTCATATTCTTCAAACAGTCGACCAAAATGAAATATTAGCGGGAATGAACGCTGCATGGAATGCGGCAAAGAAAGCAACTTAAATAATATAAGTATAAAACCTACACATAAAAGCTACTGTGCACATGTTTTTAAACAGTTGGTGATTTACACTCCATACACAAACTCAGCACAAGTTTCGTTTTTAATATTATGGCAAGCCAAATACATAGACTTCTTTAATGTCGTACAGGTGTAGTTACTTTCATGACTTTTATGTAACTTTACTTGTAAAAGATGTAAGATAATTATCTTTTCCATAGAATACAATAACAAATAATTAACTAGTTAAGACTCTGAATACAATGTAATTAACAGAAATGTTTACCCAAACGTTTTTTTGTTTGTTAAATATTTGAAGAACATTTTAAATAGTGCATACATATAGGTTGTGAAAATGTACAGTATATGTTTGTATGTTTATTAAATTTTATTACTTTTTACTTTTACTATTCATAAAGAATTTAGTATCCTGCTAAACTCTTTTTAATGTGTTTCACACATGATTATCAATATTGTTACTGTATACATGTAAATCTTTTAAGGAATAATCGCATTATTAAGAACCTACACTATAATTTGAATTAATATTTGACTCTTTGAAAGAAATAAGAATTATTTTAATATTTTTATGATATTTAAATTATATTCATTCCCAAATTTATCAAATACCTCATTTTATGTACTTTTTGTTAGCTTTTTCGTCTCATTCTGCTTCATCACATACTTAAAATGATGTGTGATTGCCTTTTTAATGCATATTTTTTTAAACTAACTGCACTATTGTTGATTAATTTTGTAAGCATTTTTTCACGTTCCTTTAACGAAATTTCAAACTTCAGTCATTGTTTTTACTAACACGACATTTTAAAAGTGAACACATTTATGTACATATTGTACATGTATGTTCATCTTAAAAGTGTCATGTACGGAAGAGTAAACTGGCCCCACTTATATATTTTTTATGCCTTATTATAAAAGAGAAAAAAAACTTTGTATGATACAGTTCTTTAAAACATTTACAGGTTATATTATATATAAAGTAGATTTTTAGGAGTTTTACCATAAAATCACAAATATGCATAGTTTCTTCGATGATAGTTTGCAATTTAAGAGAACAGAATGTTCTTCTTAACATACAGTAGATGTGCACTTTAGCCTCTATCATATGAACCTCGTGAAAAAAGATGTATGGAATCATAAATTGAATTAGATTCTCATGGTATAATAAGAGTCGCTTCTATTATAATAATACGAAATGGTCCTTTTCTCGTTTTGATCTAAAAACAATGTAAATGAAAATGACTGATCTGCTAAATCTACCTTTTGTTATTATTTATGAAGATGTTATCTTAGGTTCATTTTCATCGACTTCGATTCTTATTCTTAAACTACGGTGTGAAACACATAAAACATACATCTTATCTAAAAACTTAGGTATAGCATAAATTATATCATCTCTAAATCTGTCGAACAAATAATGACCCGAAAACATACATTTTTTATTTTTTAAAATAAATAAAAGCGGTTTACCCAAAGGAAGCGCCTCCTTTCCAAAATAGAATTTCGATGAAAAGAAGAAAAAAACATATTATTTATAAATAAAAAATAAGTTCTTAAGACAGTCTGAAGTAAAATAAGTATCTTTAACAGTATAGTAGCCAAAGAAGAAAAAAGATCAATATGAACTATATAAATAACTTTTAATAAAACATTTTACGAACTATGTTGTAATCATCTATCGTCTTATTTTAAACAGGCATATAAATTACATAAGGGGGGTGGGGGTCTGTATACTCTTCCGTAGTCATGCAATCAGGCACTACCATTGTTAGTATTTGTTTTAACTAGTTGGTTCACTATATTTTGTTATCGTTGAAGTTATTGTTATGATGACCAATATCAAAGAATAACACATCACATCACATATAAATGTATTAATTCATACATGTATAAAGCAAAATATAGTGTGTGATTTTGTTTGTCAATTCGATTCCTTTTTTTATTAAGGGTATATTTTATTTTTTCGTTTGAGTGAAATTTGGAATAAAATTATGATTAATATGATAAAATTCCATATGTTTTCACGAAATGGAGTGGCGAGTGAAAATATATTGACTTTTATCAATTTGAGTGAAAATATGAAAGAATAACTTTTTTATTTAACAATCGAGAAAAAAACAGCATCACTAAAACAATAAAAAAAATCCCTTCGCTAATTGTACAGAGCGCAGTAATATTTTGATTATTTATTAGGGAGTGACGCGGTTCAATACCCAAATTAATGCGTGTTGAGAAAATATAACAGAATCACTTTTCTCGTCAGGGGAAGTCATTGTTTCCTTGAGCAAGAAGCTTTACACTCATTGCTCAGTACTGATTGGTTCAGGGAACGGATTCGAAAGTGTGTCTATAAGCTTATAGCTTCCTACACAATCGAACTAAAGTAAATTCTGTATAAACCAATCACTATTCAAATTTGTTATAATGAAAACGAACTAAAGCCATTGACTGTCAGAGAGAAAAGTAGTCCTTAATATTTGACTCCATCCATTTTCATGTTCATTTTTCATATTTGTTTTGAACGAATATGAAGTACATTTAACTGATGTTGCAACATATGGGTAAAAATAAATAAAACATGTTATTTTATGCACTATTCAAAAACATTTAAAACAGAGACATACTTTTGTACTTATGTATTCTTACAATTCTCAGAGAGGTTTTCATTTTAAATAATACAAATACAGTTTGCTGTACATCTGATGTTTGATTTTTCAACATGGTATTGATTTTGTTTGTATTTTTATCTGTTTTTTTCAGTTTGTTTTCTCTTCTTCTTTATATCTTTTGTTGTTATCATTCCTTCATATCAATACATTGTATTTCAAGATTTATAGTTAAAGAAACAATAGATTTATTTAGATGTTTCAATTGTTATTTTATCAATTTTACCAGTAAAATAGTCAGTAACAAATTAGATATTTTGTTGACTGTAGAATTGCATCAATAGCCAACATTTGTTCAATTTAACTTTAAACACTTATTCATTTGCTTTAAAATCACTTCAGCGCTAGGAATTTTTACCAAAACTGATCCTTTAAAGAAACGTGCTATATTTTTGTTTTAAAGGTCTTTAGTTATTCAAGTGATTGAAATATAAAAGTACCCCATGTGGTTAAGGAGTTGCCTTAAAGGGTTGTGTCATCACCATTGGAGTCACCGTTTGTCCTTGCGTGATTGAAACGGACGACTAAATCGGTTCGATATACTAGAATCCATGCATCTGTTTAGCTACGACAGGTTAGGCGGTTTTGAGACCTGGTATTGCTTTAAGATTGAAACAGCCGAGGTTATCAAAAATCATCTTTCCTGTTTCGGCGCCATGTGACCTAAATTGTGTTGGTACGGCGTAAAACCAAACCAAACAAAACGTAATATTAAAGTGTTATTCCAAGTTATCTAAAACTATCTAATGATCGTTTAGTGCATCTATGATAAGCTAATTACAGTAAGTGCAATTCCAATAAATATGGACATGATGCGTGTGTGGCATATCTAAATTTGTGAGAGAAAAATCAAGAACGTGAAGGAAACCGGAAATCAAATAAACAACATCGTCAACAATGCATGCTTTGCTCGAAATACAAACAAACTTCAATCATATTTGATCACATGTTTATAATCGGTAAGCTTTGAAGTTGTTTGTATTATGTAAATGTAATCTATGAATCTATGGGATGTATACCGAAATAAGCGTGATAATGTTGCATAATTATAATATGATAAGCACAACATCTGTATTCGAAGAAATAAGTTATTGTTTAGTGTTAAGCAATGATATATAACTAAAATATTTTGGAAACTTTGGTCACGTGGCTTATGTTGCAATATTAGTATTATACAGATAATATAAACTTATATTTTCAATTGTAAACGAACTAAATGCACTCAATTGCATGGGATAATATAATTAATCTCAACATTTTGGTATCTCGAAAATACGTGATACGTGGAAATGGGCAGAAGACGTTCTTGAATACTTATAAAAAAATCAATCTCCTACGCAGTGATCTCCCATTATCAGTTCAGATATCTCTGCCAGAAAGCAATTTTAAACAATATTGTTTTAAAGCAAATATTTTGTAGCTTTTGAATTTATTTTTCATTAATTTGTTTTTGATAATTATTTGATAAACTGGTATGAAAAGTTAAAAATAAGAGAGAGAGTATTGTCGTTTGATTTTCTATGTAACGGTCGATATTTACATTTGAGCCGCGTCACGACAAAACCAACGTAATGCGTTTGCGACCAGCATGGATCCAGACCAGCCTGCGCATCCCCGCAGTCTGATCAGGATCCATGCTGTTCGCTATCAGTTTCTCTATTTGTTATAGAGTTTGTAAGCGAACAGCATGGATCCTGATCAGACTGCGCGGATGCACAGGCTGGTCTGGATCCATGCTGGTCGCAAACCCATTATGTTGGTTTTTGTCGTGACGCGATTTTACATTTGAATTTCGATGTTACGTCATATGACGTCTGTTCAATCTGCCAAGGGAGCTAATCACTGTGAGGAAATAGACAAAATAAAGAAAGGCTGCTTGCCGTCCTAAGCTATAAATGTTTAGGCTTTTGATGGTTTTAGGTTATTGGATAATCCCTATTTCACCTGCTTAGTTTTATCAAACACAAACAACGTATTTTATTTCTATGAATCAAGAACAATTAAAAATAACATATATTTAATGTTGTTCTATTTCTCCTTTGTATACAATATGAAGTGTATTTGATTAAAATGAAATTCAATTTCATATAAAAGACAATAAATACATGACAAAACAAAATAAACCATTGGATTTTGCTACATAGAGCATTCATATAAAGAGAAATTCAAAATACCCGGTAAATTAAAACTATCATTCACATAATTTGATGATACAATCAATTACATTACACCTACACACAGACGTTTTTTCTTGACCGAAAGCTGTACAAATGCATAAAACTGTGTTACAATTAATTCTGATCAACTCTTTGATTATATAGAAATGTTCTTATATTATATAGAAATGTTCTTATATGATATAGAAATGTTCTTATATTATATAGAAATGTTCTTATATTATATAGAAATGTTCTTATATTATATAGAAATGTTCAATGTTCTGAGTAATTAATTTATCAAAAATAATTTGAAAACACTAGCATACTTTAGAAGAACAGCGATGAACAGTTAATTTAAATGTATTCTCCTACCTTGCAACGTTCATTTCAAACGCAGACGCCGCAATTTCCTGTCGGATAAGGCACCCTTGAGGGCACAAAACAGGAACTGATCAACACTATGGGTCAACACTATGTAAAACAAATCCACATGTCTTACAGAAAACTTCTTGTATACTTCTTATCACAGTGTATATTTCACTCTAATTGTTTTGCATGCTTTATGAAGAAGAAAATGCTGAACGACATTTATCGTCAATTATCTAAGCATGTTTTTATCAAAATTGGTATGAATTATTTGTTACCTTTGTCAATAATCAACAATATATGAAATAAACATGTATGTTAAATTTTTATCAGAAGAATAAGATAACTTTTAACTTGTAATAACACAGTATTGACCCATTCATTAAAGTTTGTCTTTCATCAAAAAATAACTGGGCAGCTTCTAATTACTAGTCTATCATGTTATCTCTTTCAAAATAAATTTGTAATACTGGAATGATTTTATACATATTTTATCCATCGCGGTAAATGATAAATTGGACTTTTAACTAAACAAACACAATAAAAGCGAGTCTGCGACAGTTACAGGTATCTTCCCTTTCCTTATTTCTTAACTGATAATAATTTATGCGCATAATCTAAATGTGCTATAAAATATCTCATTCATGTTCTAAACATTCCTCAACAGCTTGTTTTATAATTTGCAAATGCAAGCAAGAACGGGTTACTCAATTGTACCCGAGAGCAACCCATAAGATGTATTTAAATATCAAATAGTAATTGGATAAGCTATAATTTACCTTGATTTCTTTATTTATTGTTACCAGAGACGAAATCAACTCTATGGTTTTTTTTTGTTTGTTTTTTTTCAAATCAATATATAATACTCTAAAATCATATTTTGACTTCTTTTAAAGCTGCTTGCCAGCAGATAATTCCAAACATTTTAGGAAAAACAAACGTCAGAAAAATGTCTTAATATTTGAAGAAAAGGAAAAGAATTCAAGAATCAAGCAATAATTTTCATGTTTTGTGCAATTCAAGACTGATTTTGCAGTATGTATCACAATATTTTTACTGCGTGACTAACGCAGTAGGGGCTATTTTTGTACATTTTGACATTTGTTTTTGGTAATTTACGTGGATTTGAAGTACCGTTTCCAATGTGTAAATTACTTTCTTTGTTCAATTCACATTATTTTACTGTCTCAAAATTTTCATGTATCTGGAGGCATGCTGCTTTTAACTACGTTTATTTTTTTCTTTGGCAAAAAAAATCAGCTATCTGTCATTATTGATCAAACTGATCTTTTATATATTTAAGACTAACTGAAAAAATATTAACATGATATAGAGGAAATCAAAAAAGTCATTGTATTTACAAATAGGTCCTGATAGATCCTGAAACATACATAATAGGTATGATGATATTTTTTGAAAAGTGTCCTGAACAAACACAAAAAAAAATTGCAACAAGACATGTCACACTTCATTCATTCGGTCGTGATTGTAAATTGGCACATATATATTTGTCATCTCTTCTGTGTGTTCTATTAAGGCGCTCCAAAATCCCATTTCCTAATGATGTCCTGAATGATTTGATCTTGATCGACGTATTCAAGAATATGTGGTGCTTGCATCAGTATACCTATAGTTCCAGAAACAGTCACTATCAAAAATATATACAACAACAACCTGTCTATAACTCGAGCCACGTATTTCCAATCGTCAAGCACCTGTAACAAAAAGCAAACTATATGTATTACCTTCGTTTAGGTACAAATTTAGGTACAAAAAATGTCTTTAATGTCTTAATTTGATCTAGATATCGAAAATATATAATACAGTATTCCTAATCTCAAGCGGTAACAAAATACACCATGTATATAAATGTATAATAAAAATCATAATCGCATCGAAACAAAATACATATACTGTAAGAATAAGTACTTGTTCAGCCTTAGTTCAGAGAACTTCCAATTTAAATTCATAAAATTCATGAGGCGTAAATTTCATTTTCATTTCGGTGTAAATAAACGCATGATAATTTGTGAACGGTAAAACATGTTTTTCTAAGTTTATATTCATTATAATACAAAATCATTATTTTAAGTTGTCTTTACTAAGATATTACCACAGACAACTTCATCATAAGAAAACAATACAGCGGCACTCAAGTACAGTAGAAAATGCATATTCTTAAAATGCCTCTTCAATAAATGTTTTTCATTCTTGCTTTATTAGTTTTCAAGTGGAAGAAGTACGAAACAATTGAATTAAATCGTTTTGGCAGGTAATAAATATAGTTATAAAAAATTGCTGTTATAACAATTCGGTGACATACATTTAGTTGTTATATTATTAGTAAAAGAGCATTGTCTAGTTTTATGGCCCTATACAAACGTTTGTTTGGAAATATAACATGAGCCGCTGGAGATTTAGAGAGAAAAGAGATATTTCTTCTTCTTCATAAAATATCAGCAGCCGTGTATATAAAACTATATAAACATCACGAGTATCCAATGAAAAGCGACATAACAAACGTGCAGAATTATAATTATAGAAATTAACATGCATCAGTCGACACTATGCAACTAAAGCGATGAAAATATTCATTAATACCTTAAATCAATTACGCAGTTTATAATATGATATTGTTCGATATGTAATAGAAAGAGCACCGAAACACGAGGCTATCTGATTTGTACGAGGGGGCGTAGCCCCCGAGTATTAATCAGATTGCCGAGTGTTTGGTGTTCTTTCTCTTTTGTATCATAGTCAAACATAAAAGCACGTTCCTTGTTGTCACAATATGAAACCCCGGCAAAAATGAACCAATGAACGAACATCTGAATATGACATTTCTGTCGCTTTCCCTTTCTCTGCCGTCACAATATGTAAACCCCAGCAAAAATGAGCCAATCAATGGGCATGCTCTGGAGTGCGGGTAACTAATACCCGCACTCCAGTTAACGCACTGTGCATGTATATGTATTCAATTTAACCCTGACACATTTTCAACAGAAAGGTCTCCAAACTATGATACAATTATCTTGTACACGTTACTTTTGACATCGACATGGAAAATTGCAAATTAACGTAAAACTATTTTTGATCGAAGTACTTTCATCGCATTGTTTTAATACTTAATTACTACTTTGAAAATAAGCCAGCGTATAATTTAACTGCCTTAGCTCCCAACAGGGGATTAAAAACTCGTTAGAAAATATTCTGATGATAGGATATTAAAAGGTTAATGATCAAAGCACACATGCAGACTTCTAAATTACCGTATTATATTCGTCTTCATTCTTCAAATGTCGACTTATAAATCGGAGCGCCTCAGCTGCCTTAACTATATCCGGGGAAAGATGCGTGATCGCAGAATCATCGTAATTAGCCACCATTGGTGTTGGCTCTCTAACAGGCGATACGCCTAGTCTACAACGCTGATGACGATGCACTTCCGGTAACTCTAATGCATCAAATGTTTCATAATGCCCGGATGTATTTGAAATTGTCTGAGTAACATCCGGTACATGAGAACTTAAACGTAAGGGTGAAGAGAAATGATGGTCATCACTGTCATCTATTTCCGGAGGTTGCCACCTGGTATCGTGATCAGGTCTCTCCATACATAGAAGTCTGGGTAAGTGGTTTAAAAAAACAAACCTGACCCAGTAAGGCATCTGATGTGTCCTAGGTGTACGGTAATTTCTATTTATAACTATCACCGTAAAAGATATTGCGGCTATGTTCATTATGAATGTAAATAACAAGTACTTGGCAACAAGCGGTATGGTTAATGATGGCGGAAGAATCTTTGATATCAGGAGAAGAAACACAACAAGTGCCAGCAAAATAGAAATACAAAGAGTGATTTTCTCCCCTGCATCTGCCGGTAGAGCAAAAACACAAATAGTAACAAAACTTATAAGAACACATGGTATAATGAGATTCACGGTGTAGAACAATGTCTTCCTGCGCAAACGAAATGTAAATATAACCATCGTTTTCATCTCACCAGTTCCCGGGTGTTTACTCCGTTCAATTTTGGCTGGACTATCTAAGATATCCCATGTCCCACTTTTTAGATAATCCGTTACGTCGAGGGAATTCATGTTCATGTAAAATGTAAAATTTAACTGGTCTTCTCGAAAAGTCCAAGAACCAAATTTCATGTCGCATCGTTGCTCATCAAAGGGAAAGAACTGCGAAACAAAAATTATTAAATCATTTAATTTTTTTTCCTCTATTTTCTTAACAATAAGGTGATTTGTTCATAATTTGCTAAATACTGTATGAAAGATGTTTTAAGCTCGCACGAGGATCAGAACTGACAGTCTCATTGTAGATCTTAAGATGATCAATTTAACAATTTTTCAAAAAAGTGATGAAATTTTGCAAAATAGAAGCATAATGCTTATATATCATATAATAGATGAAATCATCAAGAAACTCAAATAATGTACTTACCTGTACATCTATTGTACATGAACTTTTATATATAGCTGGTGGAATCCAATTTACCTGACCCTTAGGATACACTATGACATTTGACCTGTATGAAACTTCGTAGTTACCGTCAGCACTGAAATATAAACATTAATATTTAATTAAGGTTAACCAAAAGATGGAATTATAATCTCTCAAAGTGCAAGAACACATTCCCTATTTGAAATAAATATATTTGGTTTAAGTTAGTACATTAATTTTATTTTAGGGGTTCTTTTAATCAAGTTTTATGTTAAACATATAATTTTGTTTAAATTCATGACATTGTATAATTTCTAGCATACGTTCGCAACTTTTAAAATTTAAAGTTTTGACTTTATAAGGGGTCATTTACACCTTCTAGCCAAAATAGTCAATGTAGTACAAGTATTTCTCTTAAATTTATCAAAAACATATTACTTTCTTATTTAGAGAACAGAGTAGGTATTTGTATCCAAAAATAAATTGTACAAATCATAGAAATTTCCTTTCATTTATTGTTACCATCTTTATATAAAAACATTTTTTTAAACAAAAGAGAAACATTAACCACGCGACTTATATCAAATTCGATGTTTGACACACACGAAATAACATATTTCTCGTGAAAGTTGTTGATGTATTTTTCAGAAGATGATATCATTCTAAATTTACACATATTTGTTATATTTCATTATCTTTTCTAGTCTTAAGATTGATGATAAAAGCCTTGCATATACAGAACAGTATTTCAAATAAACCTAATTAAGCGTAGACGGGTTGTCTGACGTGAAGATTGAGTACAGAACATTTCTATGATGCACTGAGACGATCAATTTAATGAAGAATAGGGAACGTTCTGTAACAGTTCATTATTCACCGAGTCAAATATTTGAACAAGTTATCTTCTTTGCAATTGACATAAATGTTTCATTGACATAAATTACATTTGAGAATGGGGCTTCATTGTCTTAATGAAATTGAGATAAATTGGAATAGGATATCGAAAAACAATATGGACAAGTGCTCAAAATTGGAAACCTTGGAGGTCGCCAAACACGACATTATAAAACAATTGCAGACTCGTGTTCCCAGTAGTCTGTTTGTGAAATGCATTCATAAATGCAGGCTATCTCCCGCCGGCTAAAACAAAATTCCAAATTAATATGTGAAAACGATTTTGAAATTTAAAACATCTGCAGATTTGTCGTAAAGCACTGATCATAGAACTGGCAAGGTGTAAATTCCATGCCTCTTCATGATATGCGTTAAATGTCCCAAACTAAACATTTGAATTGACTGCCAAAAATAGAATTTTGAGTTATGAATGCGAGGACATTGCTCGTATATATAACTTAATGTATATTTGTATATCTGCAACAAAATACATTATATATACTTCTTAAGTGTATCACGAACCACATTACTACACAGAATACAATTTAATCAATTTGAATGACAAAAATGTTCCGTGATGTGATGATTATAATGCTACAGCGTTATTGTTGTGTTGCAACGTAAGAATCATTCTACATTAATATTTCGTGAATAATTATTTCAACTTTTCGATGATTTGTTGGGTTATTTTAGTTTTTAAAACATGTGTTGATATACTTCAACTGTGATTTAGAAATTTAATTTTTCAATGGCATCAGACATGGTTGTCAGCATTAAATCATTTTATATCAAACTACTGTAGTAATTTGTAACTTTGTATTATTGTACTTTGATAATTTAGTTATTTGTTAATGATAAAGTTTGACTTGTCAAATAGTCTGTTACTAGTTTTTCTTTATGATACAGTCAGTTTTAGACGGCAACATCATAACAATACTTTCATCAATCTACATGTGCGTACGTATATTGATGAGAAAATGATTATAATTTTCTTTAGATAAACAAAAATACATCTTCTTAGAAATACAATTAATATCCTTACATTTGCTTTGTACGACATTAATCAAGAATGCTACAATCTAACACTACATAAGTTTATCCTATTATTATGCATCACCGTATATATGTAAAATATAGGAAGGATAAAAGAGCTGGTCAAAGAAAACATTATTGAAAAGACAACTTATGCCATATTTTCTAAAATTTCATAGTTACTGTAACAGTTTTCGAAAAATACAAATTCATTGCTAGTTTAACCGGTGTATCATGTTCATATATTAGTTATTATTGTCTTACTTATTAAATAGCACAATATCCGGTGTCCATGCCTTCTCTGGTCGTATCCGCAATGCTTGAATACCGCCGTAATCCTTTGGATCCCAAACAAGTTGATAGTCTATCCAATACTGAAACAAATTGTAATCCAATAAAATACCGTTTAAACTGATGACGATAAACTGTTCACCTTCACCTGGAATAAGCTTAATACATAAATGTAGCTTACAAATAAGTCAGACATGTGAGTTTTCGGTCATTATTTGACCAAAACGAATATAGACGTTGCGTTTCAATCAACCGTTAGAGTTGGTTTTTGGTGTACATTAAATTTGAAATTGTTATATATATGCATTCTTAAGTTGGTGGCATAAAATTGTATCACGTAGAATATAAAGTCATTTTTAACAGAAAACATTGGGAAAAGCTCTTTGACATAAAGCACAAATTCAATTATTGTTAAGCGAAATCTTTCTTAGCTAGATTTATTGACAAAGGAGGTTTTACAGTGTAAATAAAACATTATATTTTTAAATCTTGTCATTGTGGTTGAAATATATTAGACTTACCATTTGAAGCCATACGTTCGTTTTCATAATCTGGTTCTTCTCATCCTTCAACAGAACAAAACCATTTAATATTATTCATCTGAATCTAAATTTAGGCTTATAAATGAAAGAAGGCAGAATACATTTAAAGTTCAAGAACATTTCAATGAACCAAATGTGTATTCAATTGAACTTGCTGATACTTCCGCTGACAGATATTAAAGAGAAAATTAATATTTGATATGTTATTCTTAACATTTTATAAGACAGTTTGTGAATGGAAATATCATATAAATATAATAACATAATTTGCTACAGTAATAGCAATGTAATTGAAAAATTGTACGGGCAGGTCTATTGGTGATATCGCACAAGGAAACTGATTTTCAAACAGTAACATTGATTTGTTCTGCATTCAGTTCTTTAGAAAACAGTATAATTGGTTGTAATTTAATATAAAAGAGATATTTAGATACGTCTATGACTTTCTTTTAAAAACCCAAAGGGTTTTTGGCTAACATGAAAATCTAGAAATCCAATGCTGATATCGCTAAAATTCTATCTTCTTTCCTCTGTTTTGCATAATTGTAATAGCCTTTTATAACAAACTTTTCTGGGTTTTTATATAAACACAGCGATAATTTGAAAAGAAATTATCTTTATGCATTCTTGTATAACCGTTACATAAATAAATATGTCAACACTTTATGGTATTGCAGTTTTATAAAAGAGGCAAAACCAGGAATTAAAGCACGATTTTTGTATATAATTGAGTAAGTCTGTCGGTTAAGTGAAGTATATGTAGTCTTTCCCAAAACTATCTTTTCAAATATTACATCCATTTTCGAGGATAGTAATAGTCTAATAGACACTACATATTACAAATAGACATGGGTTAATCGCTAAAAGTAATATATTCTATTAATAACTGAATAATATTTTGAATTAATAACAGGTAATAATTAATCATGAGTTGTTCTGATTGATTGATTGATTGATTGGTTCATTTATCATGATTAATTTATTATTTTTATGATAACTTTGTGTATTATGTCAGATAATAGTTAGACCTGAAATTAATGGAAACAAAATTTAATATTGTTACACGCAATTGACTGTCGAGATCAATAAAACATACATTAGTTCACCCTTGTAGATACATGTTCACGGTTGTTTGCGGTTGCGTTAGGGTTAAAGTGTGGTCAAGCTGAATAGAACAAGAAGTATCTTTAAAAAAGATACTCGGCCGAAGTCAAACTTGTTAACTTGCATAGGATAAGCTACCACTAACCATGTTAACCGCAAACAGAACATTTTATTCGTCCTCAATAGTTTTATTTTATTTTTACCTGCAATGTTTTCCCCATTAATTGTCATCTTAGATTTAACCAATATTAATTACATTATTTGATTTTAATCAAAATGGAATTTGATTTGAATAGGAATTTATAATAAAACATTTAGTAGATACTGTGCACTATTTCCACGGATAATTTTGCAACTGTAAATTAGTCGAAAGTTCGTTTCAATCGCTTATGCCCGGTTCGAGAAGAATATATAATGACCAGAACAGCTTAAAAGAGAAACCCAATCGAACGCAAAAGTATCTAAAAGGCGATCTATCATATCAAATTTCAAATATTTATTGAAATGCTGTAAGAAACATCTAGAAAATATTATTCTGACTTATATCTTCTTCCAACACTTCTTGCCATCGAGCAATCGAACAGTTTGGAAAAACTCTTCCTATAACGGAAGCTCTTCTAAAGTATTAATCGAACAGTCTATTTGTGTTAAAATGACCAATGAAAATTCTGCCTATATTCATTTCTTTACTATTCATTTAAGCGGAAGTCAATGTGAAAACAGAAAACCAATTATATCTGCATAAGCTGTTACGGCGTATTTAACTGGTAATATACAGATTTTGAACTGTGACAGTTGAAAATAATGTTATGTGTTGTTAGAAGTGCAATTTAAGTACATCTTTTCCTTTAGAGTGAACATTTAATATAGCTGAACAGTGTTTATGTCTGAGAGACGCCAGTTTAATGATAATGATTTAATATGAAATGATTTAATGCAAGAAGTAGACATGATACAGGTAACATCATTTGATACAGGTCTAATTACAAATGAGCATGGTTGTTTATGTAAACGTTTCTGCTGACAATAAGTCTAAAACGCAATTTTCATTGTTGAGAGGTTAATCTTATATTTAATTATGTTCAATGGTTTCCGTTAAAATTAATGAAAATATCTGGAAAATTGGACTTTTTCAACTTATTGTTAAAGATGTGCAAAACGTTTACGTTAGCTCCCGCGGAACAAGGTGAAAGTCTGACTTGAATGTCAAATGCCGGAGTCCGAAGAGTTTTTATTTTACTTTCACCAATTCTATGTAAGACACTTTGTCATATCCGTTGAAAATAGCCATTAGAAGATGTGATTTCCTTGCAAAGTAAAGACTGAGTTTAGGTAATCCTTTCAATACTTAATTAAACATTTATATTACTTTGAGCCTCGTACCATGTTTGTTACAAAGTAATATGTTACTTGATATATTATCTGTATTATTAGAATTAAATTATCGAATGTCCATTCAATGATTTGATAAACAATATTTTTGTTAGGACAAGCATATGATAATGTACCTTGTCTTGTACATTTACTTGTTTTATAACTGACGGAAAATACATGGATTCTTAATGTTCACAAATACTATTTTGAATTGATAACCATTGAAAGATTCAACAAAAATTACTCAAGATTCTGCCATTTATATATGTAACATTTTGAAGTAATTATCACATAAAAGTGTCATTATAACTACAGCATATTCCACTTCGAATATTTCGCTAAGAGAGTCGTCAAAACATATGAAAGAGAGAGAGAGTCTTATCATTCTTTATGATTATAACAAGACACTTAAATTCAATAAAGCCTGGTAGGAAACTGTCTTCTTTACGCCTTACACACTGTCTACTGTATATAATGTGTCCTATCTTAATACGTCTGAAGATATCATTTTATTATCTTGCCTTGCAAGCTGGTCGATAACTATGGTGATGCGGCTACATTTGGTGTCCCCGTTTTTCTCGTAAAGCCAATGTTATTTTATATTAAAGTCAAAAGTTGAATTATACGTCTTATTTGACAAGAAAAAGGCAGAAGTATCTGACAAGTATTTTTTAGATATTTGTTTTAAATAATGTACATGTTTGCCCTCACAGAAGAAAAAGTGGTTTCGATAACAATAGGCATAACTTCCACATTAGATAATACCACGTTAGTCCTGCATTAACTCTGTTTAAACGTAAGCTCCTCTTTAGACCTTTTTTTAAAAAGCTGTATATTTTCAAAATACCGGTGTTTGATTTGATCGCTGCGGTGTAGTATCATATTAAATGTCAAGTTGAGTTAATTATTTCTTAAAACTGTTCATGATTATTTATAAATAAGAACATTCTTTCTACTACACTAAGAAAAGTCAGAAAGCTATATACAAAAGAGTGAAATGTTTATATTTTTCCGGTTGCATAAAAAGGTAAAGTTGACAAATGTAAGTTTGTGCTACATTTGTTGGGGAAACAATAATTTAGCAATAAAATTATGTTATATGATAAGTTGTAATTGTAATTCAAATAAGCATGTAAATGGAATACATTTCAGTTTTACGGTGTAAAACGTCAAAGGCAAATTAAAAGAATACATGACGTTCTAAAAAATAAATGCTTTCATCTTGCTGTAATTGTCCCCGTCCTATAGTCAATACCTTTTCTGTTCATGTCACAAAGACTTGTCTAATTTTCGTTAAGAAAGAAAACAATTGGATATGTTAAATATCAAAGAAGATTATATGTATCTGTCAAATTTATTCAACATAGAAAGCTTGAATTATTAAAAGATATGGTGTATAAAACTAGCACTGTGAAATTGCTTAGGGTAACCAACCATGGCCATTTGTGTAGAAGCATAGTCATAAATAAAAAACAAATTTCAATAAAAAATCAAAGAAAGCATCTCGTTTTGCAAACTTCAAAAAGATTTATGTGGCATAATTGAAATATAAACTGAATTGTTTTATGTGTTTATGATTATTATAACAGATTAATTGACAGAAAAAGATGCATGGCACATGACAGAGCAATGGTAATATAAACACAGTTTTGAAATTAATTAAACTTAATTAAATGCGATTAAATACAAATAAAAAAGTGATCAAATCAAACTTTGAGAACTGTCTTAACTATTTTTTTTTCTTATCTGAACAAATATCCGACAAATAATCTGCAATTCGAATACCTCGTTCAATATTTTTTCCCTTAGACATAATGTTTTCTTTACATTTAACGGAATCACGTCATACGATGTTGTTTTTACAGGCGATTTTGGGTTCGGTTTGAAACATTCATTTCTATTAGATAATGACATAATTTATTTAACCTTTTCTACCTTTAAACACAAGCATAATTATTTTGAATATGACTCCTATTTTGTATTGTCCAGTATAATTCATATATCACAAGTAACGCCAATATGTTTTGAGTTTTCTGCAGTTTTAAAGAAATCTTGAGCAGCTATATACAAAATGACATTTTATAATTCAGAATTTCAGTGGCTCGTTTCTTCAAGTATTTCTGTATGCCGTTTATATAAAAATCAAATGAGGCACTGTAGTTCAGCAGAGAGCTCTGTAAAACTGGCTTGGTCCATACAAACTGATTTGACTATATTATCTGTATTTATTTTATTTCGAGGTTTGAAAACACTAAATTATAAAAATCGCTTCGTTTGTTAAAAGGAATAACGCTTTTGTGCATAGAAAGGAGGACCTATTAATACATTTTATGACTTCTTATTTATATTGATTTTTATATGTTATTTGTTACAATTTAACATATGCAAACTAAAATGGGTTGTAATGACATAAAGTTACCACATAATTAACATTTCTCAGTGCACGTTTTTCATATTTTTGCCCACTGATATTGCTCAAAACCCTAGTACAAAAAGAAATTAGTTCAAATTACTGTAGTATATGTCATTAAAACTCGGCAAAACATAAATTGACTGCATGAGGAAAGAAACTGATCAGATGTATACAAAAAGTCTTCTGCATTTGCTATGTAAAGTGTGAAAATGAGAAAATGAAACAGGTGGGACAGGAAAACCTAAAAAAAACAATCAATGATCAATTAATTTCTATTAATTTCTGAAAGCTGTCATAATGCTTATAAGGGGTCAAATTGTTCAAAATGTAAACAAAAATGTATCAAAAATATAAAAATAAATGTCTGTGTCGTTTTAAATTATCGAAGCAACTGTATATGTATCAAGCACAAGTTCCTGCTAAGAATAGAAAAGAAACCTTGAGACTTTTATGGAAACTTGCTATTCCATGCGTTTGAATAACACGAAATGATTAAACGTAATGTTATGACGTTTTAATGCATAATGTGAACAATTTAACGATTAAACGACCCATCTTTGTTTTATTACATTCTAAAGTTAAGAATGATTACATGGAGCCTTTTTATTGCCAAAATTCTAAGATACAGAACTACACATCATCACGAAAACAAATGTTGAGTTAGAGTATCTTCAATATTCACAGCTGTACGGCAGGCAAGATATTGATAACTTAATTCAATTGATTAATTCATTAAACAAAGTTTTCGTAATATTTTACGAGAAATATCTAATTCGTGTGATTTAACATTAATTTTAACGTCATTTACTCACAAAATAAGACGATCAGAAAATAATGTAAAGAATATTTTAAAAATAAGTTAGACATTTTATAAAAACATCGCCCAACATAAATACTAAAATACTAAAACATTATCATTATAATCCATAATGCAATATCTAAGCTTATGCACCAAAGTCGCAACATACTCTGTGCAGGAAGTATCTGTTTAGATTTTGCGTAAAACCAATTATATTACTTAGACAAATTAATTATCCTACAAATGTAGGCAACAGGATGGATACAATAAACTACTTTGTTTTCAGATAAAGCTTAGGCTGTGAGTTATATCACTTCCATAATCAAAAGAGTAACTTGTTCCTCCTAAACGTCCACAGTGTTTTATAACGAACATGTTTTTGCACTTAGTAGAATCAACTTTATTTTGGAGTTTTTTAACTGTGCTGATTGGACTGTTTTAATGTTGCTAATTTGCATTAGCTGCCGAAATCAGACAAATAAAGATGCATCGTTCAAGTTTCTAAGAAAAAATAGCTTTAGGTTTGTTACCCGTAATGTGTTGATGCGATCAAATAAAGCATATTAAAGACAAAAGATAGTTACTAAAATTGCTAAAATGAGCCGCGTCATGACAAAACCAACATAATGGGTTTGCGACCAGCATGGATCCAGACCAGCCTGGACGCTTTTAAACACTATGTACAATTAAAACTTTCTCTTAATGTTATAGCATTTTTGTAAACTGATAATGTTCAAGTGTTGTATTCTGAAAAAACTTGAATGAGCCTATACATGTAAAACATGTATATACCATATCATGGCAACAATTTTTGGGAACAACAGTTATTATTATTCTTCATTTGTGACATATTTTACAGCTATGCGCTTTTTACTGGTCTGGTCAATTTCATTCTTAAGAATGCTTTAAAAACAACCCGGCTTCTGCACATCAAAACTTATGAAATAAAACCCAATACAGTACGTAATTTAATAATCATTTAATATCTCTGTAATTCACTATAATTAAGTTTTAAGTTGCATTAGAACTGTTTCTTCTCTTAGTAGCCCTTCTAAATATATCAATATTATGATGAGCTGATGTTATTTTCAGACAAGCATTGCATTGTATTGAAGCTGCATTTTATAAATAATTAAAAATATTTTGCTATCGACCTAAAACCAAGCATTCTACAGTTTCATTTTTCTTTTTAACAGTATTGTTGTAAATCTAATCAAATACTGTTTAGAAATTTACGAAAGAGTTAATCATCTTATAGAAGAAGATGAATTTTGTATGAAAACATTCATTTTATGATGCTGAAATATACCATAAATTTGAACTACTACTTAAAGTCATGTTTGTTGATTTTCACCCAAAGGCGAAGTGTCTCATGCAAAAAGAAATTGGTCTTTCGATTTCGCTAAAATGAGGTTGCAGACGTTTACGCCAATGTAACACCTTTTTGTTGTCTGGACACTCAAATAAAAATGATAGTCGATATAAAACATTTCTTATTAACGAAATGTAGCTATAAATGTTTAATCAAATTTATAAACTGCAGCTTAAGGCATTCTAGTAAACGTATATTTCATATTTAAATAAGAATGAAAGTATATATGATAGAATATATGTTGCAATACTACATATTATGTTATAAATGAATACAGTACATTTGAAATTAATTTATTTTCTTAAAATTGTTCTTTCTATTCAACTTTGTCTGCATATGTCAGCAACTAACTTTAACTTGTAAGATCTAATATTTAAAATACATCTGAGCACTCAAAACAGAAACAAGAACTTATACCTCTTAAATATTTTTTAAAAAACCTACATCAGCAATGACATTTAGGCATAACTGACTATAAACTACAGTACTGTTGACAAAGGTTACATAAATGCATACTTACCACACTTATGATTTGACTCAACTGTATACTAAAGTCTATTGTAATTGTGTCATTAATTCTGTTCACAGGTCTAACCAGAGGACTGTATTTAGAAGATTCAAACAGGTCTTCTACTAGACATTCAAACCACATTTGTTGATCAATAGGATCTGAAATTCAAAATACCTTAGAAGAATATGTATTTGCTGACGTCCATAATGACGTCATGTGAGTACTCACCACGTTAATGATTTGGCTTAGAGCCAAATTGAACTGTATGGTAATAGTATTTGTGATGTTTTCTACCGGGCGGATAAGAGGATTGTATTCTCGGAAGATACTCTCATATAACTTCTGATCTTCACTTGTAAAACATGTACCTGAAACAAATTATTACACTTTGATCTTATAGCATTCAATGCACTGTTGTTATGTCATCGTTTAAAATAATGATTAATCGATTATAATGGAATTTTGTTAACAAATTAAAGAGAACATTTATCTTTAAAAATGCCTTTGTATATTGCCTTTGTATGCTCTGTTTAATTTGAAACACAACAAAGAAACTGTGGAAGTATTATAGAATGTTATGTTTTATGTTACAACCGAGCATAAATACTTAATAAAACATTGTATACTGAAGGTGAGAGCTATCCTTTTTTAAAAAATCAAAAACTAAAAGCATAATTTAAATACAAATACACAATACGTTCAACAAATAAGCATATAATAGAGTAAAGTGGACAATGTCAAAACTTTATTAAACATATTTCTTTAAGTAACACAGCAGTTTTTAGAGAAAGGAAACGTTTACAAAGAAAACTTTCACTTATTGACACAAAATCAACATGTCTCAAATTATAATGATATAAGTGGTTTATAAATACTTAACAATATGGACAAAACAAAATATATATGTATATTATATTTACGTTTTGCAGTGTTTGGACAAACTTTTGATTATTTTCATACATTTCATTCTAATACATGTATCGAATGCTTTAAAGATATACATTGATAAGTTTCTAGTCTTTTATATGTTTCGACATGATCATTTTAGTGTTTTACTTATTTAACCTTTTGTAACCATGACAACTGTTAGAATTTCACTTGGCGGGGATTCATTTTATTTACACTGTCTCGTTTATAGGAACATGGTGGGGCTAAGAGCGAGGTTTGGTGCACCATTAACCGGTTTAAACTCCCCAGCAGTCATTATTATGCTGCTGACCGTTCCAAGGCGGCGCCCCTCTGTGTTCCTCAGATGTATGTCTAACTTGTTTCTTACTGTTTTGGTGACACTTTTGCTTGTGTCCCTTGTTGTTTTCTCGTCCACGGTAAGTATCTTCCCCATTGCCTCTAGTTTTTATTTCTTTGATTACCCCCCCCCCTTCCCCCGGTCTCCTGTCCCCTTTGTGGGCATATTATTCTTTTCTTTAAATTCCTATTCAGTTACAAATTATTTATCATTTAATCATTAACCTGTCCGTGCTCTGTCTTTGCCCTGTCCTGTTTTTGTTTGGGGTCCGCCTGAGCTCCTTGCCACTGGTTCTTGTTGCTGGGTCATATGGGGGTTGCGTTCATTGAACGCCGCCTTTCCTTGTTGATCTTGTTTATCATATTTTATGTCATTTTCTGAATTCATTAATGCAATATATTTAGTTATATTTGGTCTTTTCCAAAAGTGTTCTATAATTTTTTTTGTAGTTCAGCATTAAACACTTTTAACCCATGTTCTCCTGTAAATCCCTATATGTACCTCCCTGTGCAATTAATCATAACTATTTTTATATATTTTTCATTTTCAAGTTGTACAGTTTTCAGCCATTATTTTATAACTTTAACAACTCCTTTGCATTTCGAAATTGCTCATCCTAAATTGAAAAATACATTTCCTAATTTTCAACAATCATATTAACCGCTTTTCTCTGAAGCATAGTTCAAAATTGATAAACTTATTTGGTCTAAAAAGGTCTAGTTTATGTTTCACAGCTATACATTATCAAATTTAATTTAATTTATATAATGATTTCAAAGCTTGACCAGATAATCTTTTAAAAGCAGTATTAAAAGATCCACCAGTTGTAAAAACTGCCCCTAAATAAGTGACGTGTTAGGCAATTTCCAAATTTGTCTCCTTTATATACGAATGAAATGTTATATCTTAGTCTGCCTTTTCTAAAAATTATAATTTTATATTAACAATTTTGTCTCCACGTATCATAATAATTCTCCTATAACAATAAACCTTTATGCAAGCCTTCTTCTGTTGCAGATAAAATAATAATATCATCAAATTAAAAACAATTTTAAGAAACCTAAACTACCTCCTTCGAATTAATTTATAATAAAATAGTCTTCTATGTCATTAAGATACATGGCTAACAAAAAGGTGATAAAGCCTCTACTTGTGTGGCGCCTAACACACATGTAAAATTCTTCACTCGAAACATTTTGATATTTTATTCTGGATCGTACACTTTCGTACACCGACTTAATAACGTCCAAAATTTTACCTTCAACACCATATCTAATTACAAAATGGATGTTCTATTTTTCAAATCAAATCAAATGACCAACTATCAGTATAGCTACATATACAGGAACTCTTAAATATTTCATATTTCAATATTCGTTTGAAATGTTATTTAACAGCAAGTGTATAGATACAAATTTAAATGTCCTTATACGCAAAGAAAATTTGGTATATATTTATTATAAACAAAAGAATGGGTCAATAATATTAAAATTCTATACCCACACAAAACAGAACATAGACAGTATATGCAAATATAAAATGAAAGAAAATGAAACAAACTAAACACAAAAAAATAAGATGGTAATCAGTCTAACATAACAACAACAAGTAGGAATCATTCCTACAGCATGCACGATTTTCCCATGATTTTCGTCAATTATAAAATCAATACTGTTTCTGCATATTTTTGAGATACGGTCCTTTATTAAATTGCAGCATCCATCAAACATTCAATAACAAAGCTTAATAAAAGGCTGTTCCGTGTATTACCATACAATCTCAATATATCATAGGACCCATTATTATCCCTGGACAGTGGTCTTTAGTCACGCGTTTCTTGTGATTAAATAAGAGTCTTTTTAGAATATGTGACATGTCTAAATAAGTTAACAAATGGATATGTGTGTTCTATTTTAGGGTGATGTCAATCAAAAATATCTAATTATACATACCATGGGTTGTAAGGAAGATAGTTGTCTGTGGAATCCATCGTATCTAAAATCCTCTCACTAGTCAATATAAAGCTAAATATGCCTTAACTTATATCTCTATTAAAAGATTTAAAAGATCTTATATAACGTATAAATCTAAATTATTATATATAGTGTGTAACATTAGATTAAAATGTCCATAACTAGTATAAAACTAGCACAACTTACTTCAATTATGTCTGGAATATGTCATTTGCTTTACAACAGGAATTATTTATTTTGATAAAGTACTCAATCAATGTGAATAAACTAAATATATAATACCAGTATATAAATGTAAATGTACACAATTGTTGTCAGTGCGACATTGCAGTTAACGAATGTTATATTATTAAATGATTGAGTTTATACAAGAAACAAATTACACATTTGACATTGTTGATGATATTGTAAAGTGCTGTACAGCGTCAGACAAGTAAGAACATTGATTTATTGTTTTTACTATCCAAACTGACAAAAATGAAAGAAAGCTTTTTTCATATACGTCTTGCAATAAAACGTAGACACATCATACTTATTATGCTGACTGCTTATATGTTATATATATGTTATAAAAGTTATGTAGCTTGTTTGCGCGTTTTAATTGCTGATTGTGCAACTCTGAGTTATAATATGCACATGAAAGGCACATACGATACTGCAATAATGTAAGTTTCTTTTAGCTAGAAAAAATAAGGTTTGTACAGAAGATTCTTAAAGTTTATTTATCGTTTTTTGTTATTTTTGTCTTGATATTTATGTATGCCTATAATGAAAATATCCCGCACGATATTCAAAGCACATCAATATACATTACGAGCTTTTAATCATTCTCTCAAGAACAAATATATTGGCAACAAGACGTAGATTAACATCAACGAAAGACAAATTTCAGATTTCTCTGTTGATTCATTGAGCATTGACCTCGCCTGGGAATTTGAAATCCAGTTCTCAAATAGGTTTTATTCAATTATTGTTTAGCAGAATGATCAATGAGATTCAACTTGATACAGGATAAAATCGTTTTCTTTGTGTATATTAAGTTTTTTTTTTCAAACCAGACAAAATATTTACAAACCAAATCATGATCAGAGCAACCGATATTTACACTTATACTTTCTGGCTGATATTTTTTGATGTTTAATTAATGCTAAAAAATGGCAATACATGCATCTGTAACCCATTTCGAATATAGCTAGGGAAACATAATACAAATGACACTAATACTGAGTTTTAAACTGGGTCAAAACTCATTTCTTGATGGAAAGTAGGGCGAACGTTGAAAATGATACTTTAAAACACTAAACTTCTGCGTTTACCACATAAGATTTTCATGAAACATAAAATTTTCCTTTTTGATCCTCAACTATGGTAACAGATGTCAAAAAATTACATGTATGTTATACAATTTAACATGTGTATTGTACAAGTGAAAAATTACGTTCTATGTTTTGAACAAATACATAATTATAATGTCTGGTAATTCATATACTATTTAGATATCTTAAGCTTCTGCACTTGACACATTTTTATAATTAACATTTTCACTACGGAAATGCCATAGGCTGTACAGCACCTACACATTAAGTCATGTCTTTTAATTTATTTTTATAGTCAATGACTTATATTAAGAAGAATATATACCTGCATTTACAGACACATCACACCTAGGGTTGATAGATGCAACGAGCGTTATCATGATGACGTCAATGCACGTGCAAAGCAGAATGTCAAAACTCATAGTGCATGCTGTGATTTGTCTTTTTATATAAAGTTACACAACTGTCAATCATTGCCTGTTACAAAGATAATACTTAAGCATTTTAGTTCTGTACATTTCATACATAATCGCTTTAAATCCTTGCAATCCTAAATCATCGTAAAACAAAGCTTGTTAATTCAATGACACCACACTTAATGCCACATCCAAAATAACATGAAGATTCATTTGCTACATTCTTAGTTTTCATAGTAACAAATCAAAGTGGACGCCACAAACTCTCTCAAAATGATAGCCACTGTTAAGTTAGTTCAATGGCATTTATTCCTGCAAACAGTTGTAATTATTAAGTCCAAAGTTATTCCTACAGCTAGTTTGGAATCACAATTTATTTAGTTGATGATACTGTATGAAACACACATTCCTTTATTTATGACTTCATGTATCGATACATTATCAAACCTCCCGATGGAAATGATAAAAGCTTCAAACATTCTACTGTATTAGGACACGTTCTCATTTCGACAAAATGTTGACAGCAGGCTAATATCCGAAACCAATTAGACCTAATATCAGAGTTTATTCCAACAAGCAAAACATGAAGTCGTCCATGCTGTGTAACGGTGACCTCATTCTGTCGTATTCACAAAAATTACAGTCAAAACATAATGAACCAGTTGTCTATTTGCTCATATTTAATACATCCCTACAATAAATCTATTTCCAGAAGGAACTGGGAAATGAAATGTATGATCCGATTCACTCATTTGTCAATATTATCGACATCAGCCACAGTGCAAGTATAGAATAAAGCTCAATGATGGACACGCAGTAAGAATCGATCTTAAAATACGCCTTCAGTTTGTGTTATATGCCGCCCTGACAGAGAAGACGCCATTAGGGTGAAATAAAACTAAATTTATATGTTCCCAGAACATATTGTGACGTGTATTGCTTCTTTTGGCCGTTGTATCATACAATAAAATGTTAAATATTGAAGAACATAATTAGAATATAATTTTGTTTGCTATAACAAAGTTGTTGGAATAAGCAGCGACATAGTATTCAACAATTTTAAGTTTGTAAGTTTTCAATGACACAAATATCGTTTATGAATTATTCGATGGCTTAAGGAGCAAATGTTGACAAAAACTTGAGGGTTGCCTCTCTAACCAGGTTTTGCTGCATAATAGGATAACAACACGTTTTCTTAAATGGCACAATAACTGCTTTGTTAGACATCAGTGGTCGTTCGGTTTCTTTCATCTAGTCATATAACAAACTAGAATTTCAAAACAAACAAAATATCAATTCAATGAAGCAGACTCGAGAGTACTTTGAATAAGCTATACCTACTATTACAATTATTAGTTTATTATTAGTTCATTAATTTATACAAAATACTTTGAACTGGTCAATTATTCAAGGTTGGATTATGTCTCGAAAATACTTTTTTTTACTAAAAGCATGATATCTCCAAGTTAAACCGTCTAATATGACATAAGTATATCTATTTTTCAGAATAAGTGATACTCCCTAAAATCGCACAATAATACTTTTTATAAATAAATGAATTTCCGATCCCAAGTAAAGTACGAATCAGTAAAACATATTTAGAGGTTAGCATTCACAAAGTTTACCAGCAGCCACATAAGTGAACTGATCTGATATGATATTCTGGAATTAGAATGTGATATGATAAATGTATAAAATAGTTAGGCAAGGGACGTTTTAGATTGGTTATTATCAAGTTGTCTCACCTTAAAGTATGATTGTTTAATGCTTTGTCTCTTTTTAAATTATATACTATATGAATAAATAGATTTAACTATATAACAAAAAGAAAAATGATAAATTACTTTTTTCTGAAAGTTCGGTTTCGTTTTTCATTGTTCACTTTTGCTGCTGATTTTATAACGTTTGCAGATTTTCTTATTCGCTTTTTGATTCTTCATCCCGTTTTATTTTGTAGAAATAGTTTAACTTTAAGGTTTCATCAAGATCTAAGTAGCACTGATATTTTTGTTGATAAAAATTGTCCTGTCTTTATTCAGTGATGGCTCTAATCTGATGACCTTGTAACAACATCCCCAATATGTTAAGTTTACTTCTCTTGCATTATTCATCAAATCGAGAAACGATGAGCGGAAATGGGTAATGAAGATATTCCGTGTTGTCGTCATGGAAATATCATTTAGTGTAAATTATCTAGTAAAGTGCATACAATAGAAATCAGACAAATCACTTCAACACTGACACAATTTTGTTTACTATCGGACGGACTGAAATTTGATAACCAGTTTGGATTGACAGTAAAATGCAAAAACAAAAATGCAAAAGGGAGACTCTATACTCTATCATTTAAATACACTGTATATTCCTGCGAATATGACGCTTTAATTTATTTTAATTTCTACTTATAAAGTCTGTTTGGCGGACTAGGACGGTAAATTTATTGATAAAATATTGGTTTTAAAGTTCAGAAAAAAATCCATTAATAAAAAATGAATGATGAAGAAAAATCGAGAAAAATAGAATCCCTTAAGAATGCCCAAAACGTCAGAATTAAAAAGACTGAAGACTCGGTGTGATTAATGCTGTTCATGGACGGTAGTGGTAAACCGCAAGCTACTGTCCACACCACCACTTCGCACAGGCTTAAGCAGAATTCAAAATTTGAACGTACTAAATTGTAAAATTTTGAATTAAGAAACATCCGCAGATGCTTTCATATGGAGGTTATCATAGAACATTCAATACGGCACGTCCTGTCATTCCATGAGAAGTGGCATATGGTCTCGAAATACAAGAAATACAAGAAAACTGGCGGAACGAAGCAAAAAGGAATTTTGAAAAGGAATCAGATGGTTTGAAGCATGCACATCACAGATTAGACGTCAAAAGAAAAGAAAAAGAAAAATCAGGCCACATGATGATATCAGTTATTATAATTCTTATATTACAGATCTTATTCGGCAAATTAAATAAATGTAATAACTGACTTGATTTTCTTGTATGATAAATTGGTATTTAGAATTAAATAATTAAAAATTACTACAATTTTACAATATGTACAACATAAATTTTATAAAATCACTTTCGGCCCTAATTATATTTCATTTTCTTGAATAAGATCTGCCAGACAAAATGAATGGGGAAAGAAGAAATTGGAACTTGGATGAGTTAAATAAAGCTTATTTACATTAAAAGAGTAAATGAATTGTACAAAATTTCTCACGCAAGCACTGGAAAGATGTATTGGCGCCGAGATTGAAACATGATTTAAAGTATTATCGGTTTCTGATTGGACCTCCAGTTAAAATTGATCTCAAACAAATGTTTTTCAACAGAAATGTTTTTTTAACATTATGAATTTGACTGACATTTTAGTTGAAATAATTTTTATTATACGAGTAAAGTTAATATTTCCTTGATTATGTTTAAAATAGAGAAAAACAGAATTTCTTAAGAACCCCCAAAATGAAAAAGACTGAAATGTTGTAGGCTCGGTTATACTGTTCAAGGACGGTACTGCAAGGTACAAGGTACCAACCACGCACCGGCATAAGCAGAATTTTAAACATGAAAATGGTGAAATTTTGAATAAAGAAACACCCGCAGATGTGTTCAAAACATACATTAATTAATTCAAGTGTAAGCGTTATAATATGTCAATAACCAAATCAAAAAGTGTTTGTCAGTCCCTCTCACAACAATTTGTTAAAATTTAATCAAATTGATTTATGAAAGATTGTCAAAAGATTTCCTTTAATGATATTGCAATTATCCTAAAATATATCATCATTTCATTTATTACTGTATTTATGTACCGTTATAAAGTTTTATTAATAAACATTCGTTATTAATTGTAATGACATTGTATTCTAAATCTTAACATTAATGACTGAACATAAAAAATGTGTGTTCATATTAAATAAATATTAAAAAGATTTATTTCATTTTTTTGTTTGGGGAGGGGTCTTTTTTATCATTTATCATTTTTCTGTATCATGTCTCTATACATATTATAAAATATCCTTCGTTTTCAGTGCACATATTTATCAAATAAAGAAATGCTCTCACTCACTAAATAAAAGGAGACAAGAAATCGATGGTAACACGGATGCCAAATCAACGACTGTCATAACATTTATGCTCAACATGTCAAACAAAACTGACCCTCATTCTTGGACAGATATTATTCAAACCATTCGGGCGAATATGGAAGACATTGATGATTGGCTTTCATTAACATTCTTTATCATTGGGCACACAATTTTATATTACCGTAGTGTAATCCACAGAAATCTATACTATTGTGAAAATACACGGCACAATTCTAATAACCCCATCACTCGTCAAATGATCACAACATATAGATTTATAATAAAAAAGCTACTTGATTGATAAAGTGTTAAGTGTTTTTGCTCATTCCTGAAATGATTCAAACCGAATGACGAACATTGTCTGTTAGATTATGTACATTTTATCATAAAACATTGTTATTCTTAAAACTATAGAAATGTATGTATTTAAAGCCAGTAAACCAGGAAAAAATTTGTTTATCATGTTTCTCTGATGCTCAAATTTGATTAGCTTGTATTTTGAATTCTTAATTGCTCATCATCATCTTTCGAATATGGTTCAGCGGCTTTTAAAAATCAAAGCACAAATATTTACATCATTTAACATAGTCAAAGTTAACAGAGAAAAGTGATGATATTCTCCAACGGATGTGCATTCCTTTGCATGTTGATACCCATGATTAATTAAAACCTGTCAGAGTTTGTAAAATACCTTTGAAAGTTCAATGGAAATATGGTCAATGTAAAACAATTGATAAAGACAACTGTCGTAATGACATGCTTATTTGAAAGATATCGTCTGTGTGGTTTGGTGGTTCTCTTCATGGAAATAAACCAATTTTACCTTGCCAGTGGTCCTGTGTTTGGGGATGCGTTCATTTAATGCCGTCCTTCCTTGTTGATCTTATTTTTTATATCTTAAGCATGTATGTAAGTGTCTCCTTTAGCAAAGAATGCACTAAACACATGAAGAGTACATGCCTGCATACAGTGCCTTATCTATATATGAGTTTCAATAGACTTCTTTATCTTAGTATCAAATACTTCAAAAAGATATCACCAGTCTTTTTTGACTTATAAAAAAAGACGTCAAATCTAGTTAGGTTTTACGAAAACAGTTGTGTTTCCTGTAAGATAACAGAACACACATTTATATAAATATAACACGCTTGAAATGTTAATAGATATTCAGATGTTTCCATAATGTCTGGAAATAGTAGTTATTGTTTCAAGCAGTTATGTTTACTGACTTAATCAGCGTCTTATGTGTGCGTGTCTATGCACAACATTGAAAAGTTTATGACATTATTTCCGCGTGGTTCGTATGACATGTCACTTTTATTGACCAACATCTCTTGAATATTGAAATATTTTTAAAACCACAGACTATTATATACTAGATTTATGAAGACTTTCGTTGGATTCTTTTTAAAGCATGCAATACAAACATCAATGGGAATATGCAATGCATTTTATTTAGTAAAATGACATGAATGAAACAAAAAATACATCAATGTTCCTTAGCTTAGAATAGTTTCCCAAAACCTTTGTACAGTTTGTACAATATTGAAATTGTTGTCAGATTTTAAGTGGGTTTATTTGACAATATGACAACATTATTTTTATATTATATAAACATATATTTGTTTCAAAACAACTCACACAAAACAATGCAAAAAGAAAATGTCAACCATTTGGCCTT